CGGATGCGCTTCAAGGTGTTGGTGACCACCTTTAAAGCGCTCCATGGCTTAGGGCCGGGGTACTTACGAGACCGCCTTCTGCCACCAATAGCCTCCTACCGGCCAGTACGCTCGCACAGAGTGGGCCTCCTCAGGGTGCCGTCCGCCAGACAATGTCGGCTGATGACTCCCAGGGGGAGAGCCTTCTCTGTGGCGACGCCCACCCTCTGGAACAACCTCCCCCCAGAGATACGTACAATAACAGACCTCCGGATTTTTCGTCGGGCCCATTTATTTCAACTAGCGGGGCTGGCTTGAGTTAATTTTAAATTGATTTTAAATTGGGTTATTTTAATTTACGGCCAATAATATTTAATTATTTTAAATTGCTTTTAAATTTTGTATGTATTGTTTTTTACTTTGGCTGTTCACCGCCCTGAGTCCTATTCTGGAGAAGGGCGGTATAGAAATTTAAATAATAAATAAATAAATAAGACTGCCTCTCTAGCAGTGTACTGGTGTGACCTGGTTTAGTACATTTCAAAGTTATTGAAAAAGGGAACATGATTATGAAAAGCATTAGAAGAGCAAAATTAAATATTCTGGACTAATAATCAGAAGGCCTTCCCAGTGCTCTCTCACATGAATCCATTTGCTGACTCATAGATACTTGGCTAAATTTCATTTAAGTGACCTTCTTCCTAGTCTAGTGCCTCTTTTTGTTTCTGTTCTTCTGTATTACAATAGTGGTACTGGATTGAAGTTATATTTGTGGCCTGTAGGAAAGGAGGCTGGGTGGAGCCTCAGTGGCTTAATAGATGCCAGAGAAGGTCTATACTCCACCAGTTTGAGCCCTACCACCTATGACAGTCTTGTCATTGGCCTCAGTTCCTGCCCACCTAGCAGTTTGAAAGCATGTAAATGCAACCACAGGTAGTGCTTGACTTACAACAGTTCACTTAGTGACCATTTGAAGTTACAACAGCACTGAAAAAGTGACTTATGACCATTTTTCATACTTATGATGGTTGCAGCATCCCCATGGTCACGTGATTTACATTGGGATGCTTGACAACTGACTCACATTTATGACGATTACAGTGTCCCAGAGTCATATGATCCCCTTTTGTGACCTTCTGACAAGCAAAGTCAATGGGAAAACCAGATTCACTCAACAACTGTGTTACTAATTTAAGAACTGCAGTGATTCACTTAACAAATGTGGCAAGAAGTGTCATAAAATGGGACAAAACTCACTTAACAAATTTATCAGTTGGAAGGAGAAGCTGAGAGTCCAGGACAATGACTGCGGTTCCATCCACAGGGAAAGAAGGTTGGCCTCTGTTATCTTGCCGCTGTGAGAGAACGGCTATGGCCACCCACTGTACTGCTACTTGCCCTGGACGCCCCATAACTGTGAGAGAGTGACGGGGCCCCAGCTTTTCCATGTCCAACTGTACTGTTTATCTCTCACCTCTATGACTATCATTAACACCCAGAGTTCCATTTTTATTTCCTTTCCCACCATATCTGAATGACTTATACCTCGGCAGATCTGCTTGTGCTGCGAGATGCCCCCCTCTCGCGGTGATGGCCTTCCACTCTATCAAAGGACTACCTTAAGGACGGGCTTTGGAGTCCCGAGAGGTGGCATGTTTTAAAGCGGGGATTGAGGGGTTTTTTAATTAGGGTTTTTAATGATTTTTTAAGGGGAACCGGGAGGAAGACCAATGGGGTTGAGGGGAGTAAGCCACTAAGGTCAGAACCGAGCCCGGCACAGGGGAATGGTTTGGAGGGTGCAGGTCGAGGGATTGGGGAAGGGTTGGTGGGCTATCCGAAGGAGGAATTTACCATCAGCAGGGTGAATGGGAGGGGCAGATATGGTGGGAGTAGGGGGCTACATCATGTGCTGGGGGCGCGCACTCGCTGTTTGAGAGCAATTGCGCGCCTAGGTCCCCAAGACTCCACTCAGATATTAGGTGGCTTAGATACTCAGGACCTGGGCCTCCGGCTGATGTTATGCAATGCCAGGTCCGTGGTTAATAAGGCCCCCCTCATCCATGATGTTATACAGGAGGGGGGAGCGGACCTGGCAGCTATTACTGAGACTTGGTTGGGCCCGGAGGGAGGGGTCCCCCTGGTTGAGATATGCCCACCGGGCTTCAGAACGCTTCATCAGCCGAGGGCCCAGGGGATGGGCGGGGGGGTGGTTATTATTAAAGAAGGTCTTGGTCCGAGGGAGACCACTGTGCCACAGATTGCCAGATGTGAAACCCTCTTTGTGAGATGTGGTCATGGGGCTCAGATGGGCCTGATGGATTCTGATAGATTCCAGATGGAGCTTGGGCCATTTCCTGAGGTTCTAGCACATGACTCGGTCGGGGACCTGGTGGCGGCCTGGGATCGGGCCGCTAGCGGAGCCTTAGATCGAGTCGTGCCTTTGCGGCCTCTGACCCGGTGTCGATCCCTCGCGGCTCCTTGGTTCACTGAGGAGCTGAGGGAGATGAAGCGCCGGAAAAGATGCCTGGAGAGCGGTTGGAGGGCCAGTCTCACCGAATCTGATCGAACACTGGTAAAGTCGCATATTAAGACCTACCTAGTGGCGATAAAAGCAGCGAAGTCTAATTACTTTTCCGCTCTTATTGCATCATCAGAGAATCGTCCGGCGGCCCTGTTCAGAGTGACCCGCTCCCTGCTTCAATCGGGAGTGCGGGAGGATCCCTTGGAGGGCAGGGCTGAGGATTTCAGACGATATCTGTATGACAAAATCGCTCAGATCTGGCAGGATTTGGACTCTGACTGGGTAGATCCGGGCAGGATGGCGAGGAATAGTCTTGAGAATGTTATCTGGGAAGAGTTTGACTCTGTGACTCCGGACGACGTGGACAGGATTTTGGGGAGACTTAATGCGACCACATGTTTACTGGACCCGTGTCCCTCCTGGTTAGTACTGGCTTCCCGGGAGGTCACATGAGGCTGGCTCCAGGGAATTATCAACGCTTTGTTGAGTGAGGGTCACTTCCCCGCTGCCTTGAAAGAGGCGGTGGTGAGGCCTCTCCTCAAGAAGCCCTCCCTGGACCCGGCAGTATTGGCTAACTATCGTCCTGTCTCCAACATTCGCTTCGTGGTGAAGGTTGTTGAGAGTGTGGTTGCACGACAGTTTCCACAATTCCTGGAGGAAACGTCCTATCTAGATCCATTCCAGTCGGGTTTCAGGCCTAGGCACAGCATGGAAACAGCATTGGTCGCGTTGGTTGATGATCTCTGGAGGGCTCGGGACAGGGGTTGCTCCTCTGTTCTGGTCCTATTAGATCTCTCAGCGGCTTTTGATACCATCGACCATGGTATCATGCTGCACCGGCTGGAAGAGTTGGGGATGGGGGGCACCGTGTTACGGTGGTTCTCCTCCTTTCTCTCCGACCGGTCGCAGTTTGTGTTGACAGGGGGGCAGAGGTCGACCTCGAAGCCTCTCATCTGTGGAGTGCCGCAAGGGTCGGTCCTCTCGCCCCTTCTGTTCAACATTTATGTGAAGCCCCTGGGCGAGATCATCCGTGGCTTTGGGGTGAGATACCACCAGTACGCTGATGACACCCAGCTGTACATCTCCATCCCAGGCCACCCCAGCAATGCCCTTGAAGTGATGGCCCAGTGCCTGGAGGCTGTACGGATCTGGATGGGGAGGAACAGGCTCAAGCTCAACCCTTCCAAGACCGAGTGGCTGTGGTTCCCGGCATCCCGATATAGTCAGTTGACTCCATCGCTGACTATCGGGGGCGAGTCTTTGGCCCCCGTGAAGAGGGCGCGCAATCTGGGTGTCCTCCTGGATACACAGCTGTCCTTGGAGGAACATCTGACGGCTGTTGCCAGGGGGACCTTTTGTCAGGTTCGCCTGATTCGCCAGTTGCGCCCCTTTCTTGATTGGGATTCCGTGTGCACAGTCACTCATGCCCTCGTCACCTCTCGCCTGGACTACTGCAAAACTCTCTACATGGGGTTCCCCTTGAGGAGCACCCGGAGGCTCCAACTGGTCTAGAATGCAGCCGCACGGGTAATTACAGGAGCTGCATGGCGCTCCCACATAACACCGCTCCTGCGTGAGCTGCACTGGCTCCCAGTGGTCTTCCGGGTGCGCTTCAAGGTGTTGGTTACCACCTTTAAAGCGCTCCATGGCATAGGACCTAGTTATCTTCGAGACCGCCTGCTGCCACCGACGACCTCCCATCGACCCGTACGCTCCCACAGAGAGGGCCTCCTCAGGGTGCCATCAGCCAAGCAATGCAGGCTGGTGACCCCCAGGGGGAGGGCCTTCTCTGTGGGGGCTCCCACCCTCTGGAATCAACTGCCCCCAGAGATAAGGAGAATCCAAGACCTTCGTGCCTTCCACCGTTCCCTTAAAACTTTCCTTTTTCAACAAGCTGGGCTGGCCTAACAAATCCTTTTAAATGATTTTAAATGATTTTAAATTCGTTTGTCTTTTTAAATTTTGGGCCAAATTGAGATATTTCCTTTTAATCTGTTTCTTAATCTATGTATTATGTATTATGTACTTATGTGTTTTTACTTGGCTGTACACCGTCCTGAGTCCCTAGGGAGAAGGGCGGTATATAAATTTGAAGTAAAAAAAATAAACTAAAAAAAAGTTAGCAACATAAATTTCGGGTTCAATTGTGGTCATAGGTTGAGGACTAATTGTAGATAAATAGGTACCACTTTGGTGGGAAGGTAACAGTGTTCCATGTTTTGCTGTATTCTCTCAGTTGTGGTATGATGTCATGCTGACCACATGACTGCGGAAATGTCTTTGGCCAATGCTGGCTCAATGGCCTAGAAACGGAGATGGGCACCACTGCATAAAGTCAGTTAATGACTAGTCGAGTGAAATACACAGGGACTCCTTTACCTTTACTTTTCCATGTATGAAAGACGATATTCCCATTATTTGACATTGATATTACCTGTTGAGGCCCTGAAGCAACCTGTATGATACAAAGACTTGTAAAATGAAAACTACAAACAAAATATTCTTGTCTTCATGAGTGTATATTGGTTTTTATGCAAGAAGGACACAACGAGCTCCTTTGAGCAGAATCCATGAGACTCTTCTCTTGCAAAAGCTACCGTAGTCACAAGCAATACAAAGATGAAGGCTGGCAGCCATTCATTTCAATGAAAAAGAACCTTTGGGTAAATTATGTTCTAGAATTTTCTGCTGCCCACAGAGGCTATGTTCTCCAGTTCTATGATGTAGCTGGCTATTCGTTTTCCAATGGTCAAAATCCAGGGAGACTAAAAATGCAATATTCTTGCTTGAATTAAAATAATTTGGTCTATAGCAGCTTCCCAAAAAAGAAAATAAATGAAGCCTAATTAAAGAAAGAGAAGACAAAGCATTTCAAAACTAGAAAAACGTAATATGTCTGCTACTACTTCACTTATCCTGAAGAAAGAGGAGAAAGGCAATGTAAAGCGACTTGCAATAATATGGATCTTAGCTGCAAATTTCCTTTTTTGTAAGTTAGATTTATGGATGGGACAAAACCACTTGGGAGTCAGTAGGTGCCTGGTAGACAAGATAATACATAAGGGAAGGAAACATCTACTCTTCAGGTTCTTTATACTCCTTCATGACTTTTCTGATCCAATCTACGTAATTTGCCACTTTAGTGTAAAGACCATAAGTGCCACATTCTGGCCCCCACGAAACCAGTCCAGCAACATAATAGTGTGTCTCGTTTTGGGGATCTTTGATAGCATATGCCCCACCACTGTCTCCCTGACAGCTGTCCTGCCGGCCATCCCCAGCACAAATCATATTTTCTGTGAAGACATAACCTGTGTTTCGTTTCACATTTCTGCATGTATCCATGTCCACCACGGGAATCCAAGCTGCCCTGAGTCTCATTGATAATCTAGGATTTGATCGCGTCGCATCGGTCTTGCCCCAGCCAGATATGTAGCCCAAGGTCCCTATCTGTGGATCATATTCTGAGGATGTGTCAGGTAGGCAAATTGGTGAAATAGTGGGGCCCATTGTCAAAGGTTCTTTCAATCTTAACAGAGCAATGTCATGATTAAAGTTTGTCCTGGTCCCTGATCGACTTGTGGCCCATTTAGGATGAATGAACGTGTCCGCTATCTTCAGTGGCTCAGTATCACTCTTGGCCCTTTGATTTACACTGAACATCCCAGCATAGAGAACTGGGTATGGAGCATCATCCAGCACATGAGCTGCAGTAAGTATCCATTGTTCTGAAATGAGGGCTCCACCAGCTCGTGGCTCATCAAAGTAGATTTGCCAAGGGAAATTTCCTTCGTTAGCAACTGTGCCTCCATAAATCCTCCCTATTTCTTCAATACTTCTACTGGGAATTCCACAAACTAAAGCAAAAACAGAAGAAACCATTTTTAGTCAGAGAGAAAGCAGAATAAATATCAGAAACAGATATATCGATTAACGTGGGAGAAAAAGGAAAAATAGTATAGGTGAACATATGGCACGTATGCCACAGGTGGCATGCAGAGCCCTCTCTGTGGGCACCCAAGGCGTTGCCCCAGCTCAGCTCCATTGCACATGCGCATGTGCCTTCCACTGGCCAGCTAATTTTTGGGTCTCTGCCACGCATGCGCGGGGGGGCAGGGTCATGCAGGAGATGCACATGCATGCGTGGGGGGGCAAGGGGAGCACGGTGAGTCACACGTGCATGCACAAGGGTCAGGGCACACACAGGGAGGTGTGCAGATGCATGGGGGCACATGTGCATTCACAGAGTGCGTGGGGGGCATGTGCACATGTACAGGGGTCAGGGCATGCGGGGGGTTGCGGGTGCATTGCACTATAGGTGCGCCCGCACAGTGACAAAAAAGTTAGCCATCACTGATATAGGTTCTGCAACTCTATAGGCACAGCCCACTAAACCTACAATCCAGAGCATGATTCCTTGACCCATATAGAAAATATTAAGCCCAGGGAAATCCAAGCAAGCTTCAGCTTTTCTTTAGTTCCTCTTTGGATTGTTCCTTATACTTCAATTGTTCTTTCCAATGTCCTAACAAGGATTCCCAAAATTATTCCTGTTTTAGAACTTCTGGTAGGGTTGGTATTAGGGGAAGATTTAAATTAAACTAATAAAATTCAGAGTCTGGCAGATCATTACAATTTTATAAAACTTTGAACTGGAGAAAGTTTACGAATTTTCTCTGGCAAAAAAGTTACCAGAGAAAATACTGTTATTTTGGAATTAAAAGAGAAACAACATTATTATTTTGTAATTGCAACTTGATATGATCTTCATTTTTAGTGAAAAGTACAGAGAATTATACAGTAGGTAGACTTTACCTGGGTCACAAACTGGAAGCCCTGTTTTCCCTTCTTCATCCACCCATATTCCACTGGCTGAACACTGATATGTTTCTTTGGAAATAAAGCAATTATTTATAAATACAATACTATCATTAATTCTGATTAAAAGACTATAATATATATCACAAACTCCAAGAACCATTCAGCTATGATTTACTATCAACCCAACAAAGATGTGTTAAAAAGAAAAGTAACAATTATAAAAGGAATTTATCAACTGATTTACCAAACATTTTAACCAATAATTTCACACACATGCACCCATTTTGCTTTAAAAGTATTAAATACAAAAAAAAAATATTAATCTAACTGAACAAATGTTAAACTGGAATGCGATAAATAAGTTACTGAGATAATATAAGGAGATAATGGAAACAACTTAAAGAATATAGAGTTGAGATTTGAAAAATAAAAGGGGGGGTGCGGTTCCTGGGCAACAGAATGGCTGTGAGGGGCAGGTAGAAAGTGAAGATCTGCTGTGTGGAGGCACAGAGAAAGAGGTACATAGCTCGCAGATATTTCAGGTTGCAGCCTCTGCCATGTAGTACACAACAGCCAAGGCTTCAGAAAGATCATAAAGACTGAGCAATAAGGCGAGGAAGACTCATAAGATCATGATAATCTTGTTTCTTTGTTATCACTATGCTTATTGTTAAACCTGGGTACTTCAATTTTTGGCAGGGTACTTTTAGTGGTTCCCAGCCTAGTAAACCTTCCCACCTCAATCCTGTCTTCCTGAGGCTGGCAACTGTAAAATGAGCAAAATGATGTTCTTAATTTCTGAATTGGAAGGTTTTAGTGGAGGAAAGAAAGGACTGGACATACCTTTGCCCTTTATGGTATAATAAGGTTTGTGGCATTCGTAACGGATAGTGGTTTGATACTGTGTCTCCTCCAATCCTGACAGGTAAACAATATCTCCATGTTTAATGGGATCAGGCACACCACAGTCTACAGCTGCAAGGCAGATGAAAAACAGAATGAGGCAGAATTAGAGTAGTTCACGTTTCCATTTTCATTTTTCTTTATGTTGCATACATTCATCCATCCCATGTTGCATTATTTGTTTAGAGTAGCCCTCCTCAAGGAAAACTTCCATAGGTGACTATTTTATGTCATATAAAGATTTTCAAACTCTACTGGATTAAATGGTTGAATCCTTGTCAACCTCCACAGCTTTTGACTATACAGCACCTATCAAAGATAACACTCATACTCTGTGGTTGATCCAGCGTGGTTATATAATGGAAGGCTGACAGGCGGAATGGGGACAACTCACCACAGCCAACTTGCCGCAGTCACCTCGCCTTGGCCAACTCTCCACGGCCAACTTGCTGTGGGACAACTCACCTCAGGACAATTTAACACTTCAATTTAATTATTTAAAATAAATTTAAAAATATTTTAATTTTTGGCATTCACGTTTCATTTTGTCCCTCCTTTTACACCCATTCTTTAATGATTCGATTCCACCATTTCTTTGTTATTAGTGTAACTCTTGTCCCGGAATGAGTTGATCCATGGCAAGTTGGCCGTGGTGAGTTGTCGCGTGATGAGTTGGCTGTGGCGAGGTGGTCGGGTGGAAAATTGTCATAGACCTGCTGACAGGTGTGGAGAAAATTATATATAACAGGATGTTTCTTTAAAGTTTCTCTGAGCCCTGCAATTCATCTACTTTCACTGCTTTGGCAAGACATCTGTGTCTGCTTCTCACATTTTATTCATTATCATATCGTATCATATCATTATCATCTTGAAATGATACAGCAGAGACCATTGTAAATCACTTACGAACACAACTGTAATCTGAGTTGCTCCATTTGCCATTGCTTTGACAGCTAGAGTAGAAGGATGTTGTACTGCCTTGTGGCTGAAAGAAGGATTCAGAAATAGCAGAGTTTGTGAAAATGACAGAATTAGCAGAGATGGCAAAACCGACTTGTTTGGTTATAAAAAGGGCAATAAACACATTTATTAGCAACTGGAAACCCATTATGGACTTTATGCTGAAAAAAGAAAAAAATGAATGTGATTTATGGCTATGGTGATCAGAAAGGATAGATTATAGAAAGAAGGAAATTATGTTGTAACCTTAAAAAGAGAAAGTAAAGTATAAATGTATTTTAAGTTTCTTAAGAAGACTGGAAATGCTTTTCCCCCCCCTTCCCTTCTCTTGCTTTCCCTGCTTTCCTTTCCTTTCCTTCTTTCTCATTTTCCTTTTCCCCTTCCCCCTTTTCTATTTCTTTCCATGCTTTTCCCCCTCCACTTACACTGCATTTATCAGTTTACTTTCCTTACTTTTCTCTTTCAAATTTTTATAACTGTATGTCTGTGTGTGTGTGCATGTGTGTGTTTCAAGCTGCCTGTGGTATGGGGTGGGGATGAGATGAACTGCTATCCTGGAGACAGGGCAGAAAAAAAACAAGGTTGCCATGACATGTTTATCTTGTAGCTAGATACAAGTGGGTAAAGGCCCTGGGACACTTCCAAAGGAATGAGGAAGAAACCTTTCCCCACTTGCACCTAGCAATTCACAGCACTTTCAAGGTGCACAAGGTTTAATTCATTTTGCCATCAGCAGTGCTGTTAAAAGGCCATAGGAATTGGGTCAACACCAGGGGTGAAATCCAGCAGGTTCTGACAGGTTCTGGAGAACCGGTAGAGGCAATTTCGAGTAGTTCGCAGAACCGGTAGTGGAAATTTTGAGTAGTTTGGAGAACCAGCAAATGCCACCTCTGGCTGGCCCCAGAGTGGGGTGAGAATGGAGATTTTGCAGTATCCTTCCCCTGGAGTGGGGTGGGAATGAAGATTTGGCGGTATTCTTCCCCTGCCATGCCCACCAAGCCATGCCCACGGAATTGGTAGTAAAAAAAATTAAATTTCACCATTGGTCAACACCTACTAGCCATTTCAGGCTGAGACAAACAAACCACCTCCTCTAGAACCTGTGGAGTCTTCTATGGGGCCTTTCTCTTTTGGGGAGTTAGAAAACCTGGCTCTTTCAAAATGGATACTCCCACTACCCACCATTTCCCAGGTGGATATGTGGTGGTCTCCAGGAGAGTTAGAGTTGCCTTGTCAAGAGAAAGAGGGAGAGGCATACTACACACACACACATACACACACACTGAGCACACCATCAAGCTTACTTTCAAAACAAGATCACCCACCATTTTGTATTTCATATTTGTATACCAACCATCTCTTTCAAGTAACATATTTCCCCCAACAATTCTCAGTGCATTTAATTCACTGTGTAAAAAGCTGTACCCAAGAGGTTCCACCACTTTACTGGGCAATAACGCAGCCTGATAATCAGCAGTCTAAGAGGCTGGGCACAAACCTTTGTTGAAAGATGGCAAAGTTCACAAATCAAGGCATTTCTTAAAACCATCCCCCAACCATAGCCTTACTGTAACTGGCAGATGCTTTCTTGCTGTGTGGAAATATTGAAAAGGGGGAAGGCAAATAAAAATAGAAAGTTTAAGTAATGTTTTTACTGAACATGCCCTGCACATCCAAAAATATTCTACACACACACACACACACACACACACCAGAATAGATGGTATTGAGGCAGTTTAAGGATCCCCAGTGGAGACAGCAGATTTTATCCTGGTGAAGTTTTTGTCAGCAAAAGAGATATATAGCACTTCTGAGAAAAGCCCTCAGGTCTAAGCTCCAATCTTGTAGACAGTGGGGGGAACAAGGAGAAACCATGTTATAATAGAGTATTAAATAACGATATTGGTTTTTATATACTGTCCTAAGACAAAAATGAATAAAGTTTTGTATGAAGCTTGTTTCACCATTCCTCATTCATAAAATATCATGATTAGGGTTATGGTTAGGATTTCTCCATGTCCAAGTTTCCTATCATGTGTTCTGTATATTCTTAACACTGGTGGGGAGGGGGGTGGAAATCCATTAAGAGGGTTAAAGACTGAATAACTGAAGCATGTCTTTTAACTGGTGATGCCAGGAACCCTCATATCCTTGAAACTTACTCATATCTACCTTTGATCCTATAGAAAACAGAGGAAGGGCATGTTGGGAGGGCAAGTTATACACAAATGGTTCAATTTATGCTTCTAATGCAGAGATTCTAATGCAAGTGTGGCATTTCAGGGATGATTTAATTGCCCTTACAGCATCACTTTGGTGTCATCACAATTTGTTATGGACTCTTTCTTTCCCTCTTTTATCTGTCACCTGAGTTTGCTCTTATCTTCATCAACATGAGCATCCCGGCAGGTGCTGGCTTCCTTCTATTTCCCAACTTTTGGCTAGAAAGGTGTAATGTTGGCAAGTTAAGCTGGGAGATTGCTGACGGTCCTCCTGTCTTGAAATGGCAGGTAAGACTTTCATGGTCATGTGGCTGAACCAGGCTTCCTGCAATTGATCTTCAGCCTGTCCATCATTGCTTTCTGGTCTTAACTCATGGTCAGAATGAAGAACCAACCCTTTTGCGGAACTGTGGGCTCTCTGAATGACAATAACAGTCATTCAGGGAAATAACATGATGTTGTTTACATGGCTTCCCAGAAACGATGGTTGTGCCACATAACATGCTAATGTATGGTTTGCTGTTTCTTCCTTGAGTAAATCAAGAACCACTATAGTACCAACAGGTTCCACAGGAACTTTATGGAGAGCCTTCAATCAAAAACACAAATTACTTACCATTACAATCTCATGGCCTTCTATGCAAGTCACCCTCACAGAATCCTTAAAGACGTAAGAGTCTCTTAGGGGATGCTGAACAGATCTTGAAATAACAGTCTGTGGGCAGGGCATTGCTTTAGAAAGAGAAAAAGGTATCAGAAATCAATCACCTTATGTCAGGGGTGTCAAACTCAAGGCCCAGGGGCCAGATCCAGCCCATGGGGTGCTTAGATCTTGCCCGCAGGGCTGCCTTGGAAACAAAAAAGGACCGGCCCGCGGTTCCTCTGTCAGGGTAACTGGGCTCCTGAGCTCCATTTTTGGCTGCAACGGACTCCTGCAACCCTCTGCCAGTGAAAACGGAGCTCGGGAGGGCCACATGCGGCCCTCTCGAACTCTGTTTTCACTGGCAGAGAGTTGCAGGAGGCTGTCGCAGCCAAAAATGGAGCTCAGGAGCCCGGTTTCGCTGGCAGAGTGCTCGGGCCACCACAGCTCCCCCAGACACAAGTGATGTTGAGCTGGCCATGTCCACCCCAGCCACACCCACCCCGGCCCCTCGAAGTCAAACGCAATCCTGATGGGCCCTCAATAAAATCTCGTTTGACACCCCTGCCTTATGCTATACAAGTACAAACACCAGTCCCCCTTTTCTATCACCAACGGTCAGAATCAGGACCCACAAAAGTCTTGAGTTTGGCCAATACTTCACCCTTTCTTCACTGAGACCAACTGTGCTTTTTTGTCCTAGCATTTGTGAATAAGAAGAAATAGGAAAGGAATGGTGCAATCCACCAGGATTGCAAAGCTTTCTGCTGAAACCTTTTTGCCTTCCAGAATGATCTTGAAGATAGGCTCTCTCTATATATAACCTGGATGCCTATTCTTTTTTTATTGAGACGATTTTGTTTTATTTTTCCTAACTTTATGCAAAATGGGGAAGGAACTGATAATGTAGTAGTAATGACATGTTGCTACTGCACATAGTCCAGTTTTGATGGAAATTCCATTCCTAAGCATTGCACAATAAACATCCTATATACGATACTGCATTTTGCCTCTGTTCCTGGTTTTAGTGGAGCTGAGTTCAGCCACCAAATCAAAAAAAAATTTCATCTACATTCAAAGAAAGTTCCTAGCCCCCATAATCTACCTATTCACAATTTGTCCAGGACAATATGCAATTGAATCCTCAAGTAGAATTCTTACAGACAACATTCCTTCTGTTGATGGTAACTCATTCACCATTCTGCAAATATCATCTTTTTTGTTTGCTCCTCGGAAACAAACACTTGTCCTGTTATAACAACCCAGTTCCCTACTTCAGCACTTGAATTCGCCCCATTGTTTCCTCAGAAGAGATCTACTCACGGTCCCCAAAGTAGCGGATTTTCCAGCCTTTCATTTGTACAACTTGATCCGTTTGGAAAAAAATGTCCACAATGTTGCTCTTAGTGTTGATTTTAGGAGGCCCAGGAAATGTACTGCCACAGTAAGGACCAAACTTCTGATCCCCTGCTGAAAGCTACAGAACAGCCAGTAGGAATAATGGGGAAAGTTTCAAAAAAAAGAAAAAGCAGCATTGTAATAAAGGTAGTCCCCTACTTACAACAGTTTGTTTAGTGGCCCTTCAAAGTTATAACGGCATATTTTTTTTTGCCATTATATTTATTCTCTCTATTTTTTAAAAAAAACCAATATTACCCTTCATCCTAATCTCTAATCTTAACCAAATTCAATTTGAAAGTGTAAATTTAGTTGAAATGCTTAAAAATTGTTGAAATTTGTGAATCGGCCAACACTCTGTTCAGAAAAAATATATTGTGTGTTTGTATGTGTGTTTGTGTAAAAAATAAAAAAAAAGTTATAACGGCATTGAAAAAAGTGACCTATAACTGTTTTTCACACTTACGACCATTGCAGCATCCCCATGGTCACGGGATCAAAATTCAGATGCTTGGCAACTGACTCATATTTATGACGGCTGCAGTGTCTCAGGATCATGTGATCCCCTTTGCAACCTTCTGACATGCAAAGTCAATGGGGAAGCCAGATTCACTTAATAACCATTAGTGTTACTAATTTAAAAACTGCAGTGATTCACTTAACAACTGTGAGAAAAAAGGTCATAAAATGGGGCAAAATGTACTCAAGAACTGTCCTGCTTAGCAACATAAATTTTAGGCTCAGTGATGGTTGTACACCTGTAGTTGAAAGAGTGAGGCAGGCATTCAAGATGTAAAATAAGCGTAAGGGCTGTCGGCTGAAGAATTAAAGATACAATTATAGACGCATTCAATATTAATGTACAGAGCAGCAAAACCCAAATAGAAGCAGGTTATTGATGTTATTAAATACTTTTAATGACATATAATGTAAGAATGTGCTAAGCATTTGTCAGTCCTCCCAGAGACAGAAAGAACACAGAACACTCAGAACAATCATCTTCCTACTCAATAACTGGATATGAAATATTGACTGACCTGGATTTGGTCCTAAAAAGAAGATTGCTATTTCAATTAGAAATGCCATGGAAGAGTATTAAGTATGAGACATCAATATTCCACTCACTTTGTTGTCCTAAAATGTCCTTAAATATTTGGTAGAGAAGAATGTCAATGGGTTCGCTTCATTCTCTTAACGAATCAACTGCTTTTCCTGGCCCAGTCTATTATTACCATCCTGAACTTTTATTGATTTTTTTTTAATTCAAATAAAAAGAACAATTTTCTTTCCTGCTTTCTTTTCCCTAATTATTTAAGTATTAGCACAGAATGCAAGAAACATAGACCTTGATAAAAAACAGAATACTATTTAATCACTTCTTACTGAACAACTAGGTATGAAATGCTGCTTAGATCTTCGTTTCCTTTTTTTCCCTAAAAGGCTTTAAAAACTTCATTTTTTTCCCCTGGGGTTTTTAAGCTGAGCATTACTCAAAATGGTCTGAAATATCTATAAGAGAGCTAGATTTGTGGGTTCAGAGTCCCAGACACAATCTTTACTATGTATTTTATGTATGAAATATCATGCTGGTGATTTTGTGTCGAAACACAATTACCACTCAGGCACATGGAGAAACAGTAAAACTCATAATATCCACTGTGTTTACTGGACATGACAGTAAACTAGTAATCCTTTGGTGGTAAACTAAGATGTGATAGAAAGATTTCGTATTTTGGGATACCTATAGCACTACAATGCAATATTTAAGTCTATACTCATTTGCAGGAACCAGGTTTTAACAATAAATAGCCATTGTTTGTTTGAGCATAGAAATATCTCGACTCCTTCCTATTTGATTTCTGCAAAAACCTATTATTCACTGAATGTGGAAAAGAGAAATCTGAGAAACCTTGCTGGAATTAACTAAGCATGTAGGAGGGGAGCTTCAGCTGTGATTCTCTTAAAGTATGATGCTGCGGAGATGATTGCTGTTAGTTCTTATTTGATTTCACTGTAATCTATCTGCTCTTGAACAGAGATTACTGGTATCTTTTAGCACCCTAAATGAAAAATGGCTTTATTTATAGAAGACCACTAAAACATCTGGAAGAAGAAGAATGAACAGGAGGAGAAAGGGAATTTCTAAGGCAACAGAAGCAAATCTTTCCAACAAGGTCGAGAGTATACAAGTGTCCTTCTGTTGCATATGTTGAAGTTCAGTCCATTTATGTAGATCTCCTTTCCCCCTTCTAATTTTATTTAGCAAGAGGGCAAAGTTGAACACAGTGCTGGAAAAGCAAATTCACCATGTTCCTGCTCAGATATTCTACCTTGCTACAATTCATACACTCCAGGACTTCAATGGATTGTGAAAGTCAAGTCAGCCCCTCATTTTCATAAGGAACAAAGTTAGGATACAATCTGAACAGGAAAACCTCATAATCAAGAGCCATCACGATCACTTACTCTGAAAACATCTGGGCAAGTTCCTTCTGCGTCACTTGGCTCAACTTCAAAGTCGTTGTTCCCAATGCTCAGGATCACCTGGTATCCTGGTTCCAGGATGACACGGTAATCACAGTGAGAGTTCTCCGGGTATGGCCTGGGATAGTTCGGGCTGGTAATCTCCCCAGATAGCTCAGTAAATACATTCCCACTGCAGTTCACTAGAGTTTAGAAGAAAAGCAATGGCAAAGAAAATAGAAATAACGTTGACAGAAGTCCGTCGTCACTATTTGGCCCTCCTTAGGGTTTAAAGGCCTATTAATAGGCAAGATGAATTGGCAACAGCAGTGTTTTGGGTGACATGAAAGGATATAGTTATATTTTTACCAACCCACCACATATGCCATTTAAAGTTTCTGCATTTAAATCTCTTGGGCTTCTCCTACTCAAAGCATTGTTTTAGGAGAAAAGGAGATTGTTTATAAGAAGAGCATATTCTCTGATATTAACTTCCTTGGTTAACTCCATATATTTTCTCTAAGTTCCCATCTGAATCATTTCTGAAAGAGACTCATAACAGAATGACCCATATTAATTCAGATTTTTTTCTCTTAAAAATTCACTCTTGTCTAAGTTTTAAGGAAAACTTGCTCAGCAAATACTATACATAAACCTTAATATAAGGATAGATATCCATGCACGATTTTTAAATGGGAAATCTCTGAGAAGTTCTGATCAAACATGGGAACCAGGCACTTACCCTAATCAACATGTGGACCCACAGATGCATCAGAGCTTACTCTAGATTTGGTATTCTGTTTATGAGAACATTGTGGTCTGAGGATGAAGGTCTTATGAGCTTTAAGCTGAATATTGGTAGGAGGGTTTTGCTTTAAGCTGAATATTGGTAGGAGGGTTTTGCAGAGTCAGAGGACCAATTAAAAGTTCTATCTCAGACATTTCATGGACTCAGTTTGTTTCCTGAATTTTCCTGCTCCTTCTATTAGTGACAATTGAATAGGGAAACAATGAACTGTGGACCCTCTTGGTCCCACATGGCTGTTCAGTTCTCTTCTTTAATGGAGAACAAAACTGATGTAGCAGAAGGAAAGTCAACCCAGAATTCAATGTAAGGTGAGCAGCTTAATAAATGTTTTAAATAAATGAATAAATCTGAGTACAAATGAATGAAAACTCAGGAAGCTGAGGTCATTGTGAAAATGTTGCAGCATATTTTGTAGATAACGTTACTTGGTTTTACCTCAGTTTGGACTTCAGTGTAAGGATGTAAACTTGCATATTCTTGATTTTTAAAACCAAAACAGCTATCTGTCAAATGTGACAACCCACCTATTCCTATATGAAATGTTGGGAAATTAGAGTCAGCAAAAGATGCCCTCTTCAACTTTCTATGGTCTGTTTGCCAGGTTCATAAGAGAAAGCCTCTGATGTTGGTTTCATAGTAAAACATCCATTGGGAGTTGTGTTTAATCCTATACTTTCTATTTTTAAGAAATTCCTCTATGTAGTCAGCTGTTTTAATTTTAAATTAACAGTAATTTTAATGAAGTGTTCAGATTTTAATTCTTTATGTTTTTATTCTTTTACTGCTAGCTTTCCTCTTGAATGTTCTCTGGACAGAAAGGCAGATACATATCAAGTCTATTTCTAATCATGATGATGACAAATGTGCATTATGATGTCAACAACACCAAGCCTTTGACAGTGGTTTTGGTTACAGAGAGGAACAGTTACTTAAGGGACCACCTGCCTGCCCAATTTGATCATGCAGGGTTGGCACACTCTGGGTACCTTTGATTAAACAATGTTTAATCAAACATTGGGACCCCAGGAGCATGTCTTCTCTGCGGCAGCGCATGCCATCTGGAAGGAGGTCCCCACAGAGAGCCAGATGGCTCCCACTTAGCTGTTGTTTAGAAGAGCTGTGAATCCCTGGCCCTTGGCAAAGGGGAGAGAGACTTCCCTCACTTCATTCCCTCTAGTCTGTCATGTTTGCCATTGTTCAACTTTTATTGACTTTTATTGTAATTTCTTTGTTTGATTGTTGTGAACTGCCATAATCATTGGGAGTTGAGCAGCATACAAGTGTTATTACTATTAACATCACAATGTACATTTTGTCACTGACTCCACACCGGTGATACTCTGTAAGTCAGTGAATGATACCTCCACATGTCTTCTTATCTTCATGCAAGAAATATTCAGGAGGACAAGAGCAATAGTAGCCACCAATATAGTTATTGCAGTAATGGCTACAGGCCTCTTCCACAAAATCTGTGCACTCATTCACATCTGTAAGAAAGGAAGAGAGATGTAGAAAAATCCTCAATGGAATAGGAGCAAAGATGACAGAAAAAATGACATAATTTACCACCTCAAGACTTTACCAGCCTGGCTCGGTCTCTAAGGAATCCCAGTAGTGTCTTTCCCAAATCCTGAGCCCTCATTTATAGGAAATAGAGCTTTCCAAAGATTTACAGGTTGTGGTTAGGGGGAGCTTGGGGAAGTAGTTTTTGGCTCGGATTTTAAAAAAACCAACAGATGACAAATGCTTTGAATACCCTGTTCTTTTGCAACATAATCACGAACAGATTTAAGACTGAGCTCTTGAATGGTGCAGAGAGGTTTACAAGGCATAATTAGTAATAAAGCAGTTCAATTGGAACATCCTGTGTGGTCCTCATCTTTTGCCCCTGACAGCTAAGGACTTACCAATTGCAGTGTAATAGGCAGCAAATCCAGTGTATCTCTCTTCATTGGAAAAGTCAGACTGAAATAGGATAGTTATACTATTATAGGGCACATGGAGTTCTTCCAGGATAGGAGAGCCCCGTGCGCGCCTCGTTTTTTGCCCACAGAACTGACCTTCCACCTGTTCACCAGACAGGACCTGGAAGGATCAAATGAACAAGAATAAGAGCTTATGTTTAACTATATTTTTATCCAAAATATAAACCCTCCTTAGAACATCCTTTCTTCATATTTCTGTGCCAGCCCTTCAAGGTAAGCCAAGTCAGGAAATAGACTCCATAAGATTGACTGGAAATTGACTATTGACTAACAGAGCCTCAAAAGCCTCCCTGTGTTTTCTTTTCCCTCCATCTTATACCCAACAAAGTCAAGATGGAGTCATTTTAGGATTCCTCTCCCCAGTGGTGGGATTCAAGTAATTTAACAACCGGTTCTCTGCCCTAATGATTTCTTCCAACAACCAGTTCACCAAACTGTTCAGAAAGTTAACAACCAGTTCTCCCGAAGTGATGCGAACTGGCTGAATCCCACCACTGCCTCTCCCTCTTCTGGGCTTCAAATATGGTTTTCTACAGTAATGCTGTAGCAGATATTGTCCAAGGTCATCTTTGTGTTTCATGGCAACAGCCCTTTGCAGCAATTCCTCAATGCTCTATTGCCAGGATGCAAAAAGTGTAGCCTATGAACTCCCCTTTTGTGGCTCTCAGAGCAGTAGAGACTACAAAGTTGCCTCTTTTTTGTACGCTGGGATGCTCTGAGGAGGTTTAAGGTAAAAATTGCCTTTTTACATCTCATTTACCATGATTTCAAAATGGTCCCTTAATACCAAACATATTTTGTCATCTAAATGACATCAATATCATCCAACAACATTTGCCCTTCTTTCTCTTTTTGTTCATGTCACCCAAAGTTTAATTTTCTCAGAAAATGGCTGCTTTTCTAGAATCATTGAAGTAAAGGCCTCTGTTCCTAATACACAGGATTATCCAAATGATGAAGTGGGCATAGTGACATCACAATACGAGCTCCATCCATTCTTACTTGCATCAAGACATTGAATATATAAATTCATAAGGGGTAGAGTTTGGGTTGCAACATTACAACACACGATTCATCATTTGCTTCCACTTCCCCATATTGCCAGATAAAGATCCAAAAGTCCAGGCATTCCTGAAGCTACTCCCTTCCTGAAAGCTGGGACAGCATGTCCAAGACTTTGTTCATGCTTTCAGTTTATCATTCAATTATCTTTTCCTTCTATTCCTTCAGAATACAGATGTGCACTGTCCTGGGCCAGCATAGTGGTAATAGCTGTAGTGGATGGCTTCTAAACATTTCTCCGATGTTTATTTTAAATATTCTTGCTATTTAAGGATAGCAGCAGACACTAAGATCTTAATTTACTACCCACCCACCCCGATCTTCATACATTGTAGAGAAATTAAGATGGCAGTCGGAGACCCCTCTTCTAAGAATTTGCTTCTCCTGCTGCTGCCACTAAGTAAAATAATGGGGAAAAAAAATGAGTGAGAGGTTGGCTGGGCCACAGGCCTTTAAAAAGGGGGGAGGGAACAATCAGGAGCATGAATACGGATGAGAGGGATCACAAGCAGGCACTCTCTGCCAAGATTCCTTGAGGGATGTAGCTATCTTTGCTAGGAGGGGAATGCAGAAGGCTTTTGGAGCTGTCAAAAGGCTGGATCCGTGTCCAGATGCCATAATGCTGTGATGAAGAACAAAAAGCTAACAGTAGACCATGACAAATGAGAGGCTTGAAGGCTCCCATGTCTGGAACTTGGGGTAAATGTCCTGTCCTAGAAATATTGTGAATTAGGTAAGCTCACTAGCTTGAAAATGTTCTGCCCATTTGGGGTTGTGTGCCAGTTATGAACACAGCCAGAGAACAATCTAGCACAGGGATTCATGTCCTAGAAACTTTCTGTTTGAGGTTACCATAATGGACTTAACTGAAATCTACTATACAGAAGCAGGCAAAGTAGTTAATTCATTAGTTGTAGCACAGGTGTGATCTAGCATGGAAACAATATTCAACTCTCTTCAACAATCCATATCCTTAACTTTTACACATCACCAGAAAAGTTTTATATCTTGTTTGAAATAGTTTCCTAGCTGGGTGTTTCAATACGCAGTCTGGAAAACCTCAGCCTACACACATCTCCACTCTCAAGTTCCCAACAGACAAATATGCCCCTGTACCTTCACAGAGTCATATTCACAGTTTTGAGATGGCTCTATATCCAGGTGGGTGAAGTAAAGATGAATGCCATAACCAGGAGGAACTTCTATTTTCCAGGACTCCAGAGCATCATTGGGATATGCTTGAGGATAATTTGGAGAGAGAATTTCTCCATACATAGATGTTGCCTCAGTATAGGACAGGAAGAGGAAGGAAATGAAGCTCCTGAAAGATGAAATATCAATATAAGGAGACTGCCAAAATCACACTCAGCCCCTGGATGAAATGTATTTGGAAGATCTTCTAGCTTGGACATCCTGGTTTTGCCTAGAGGTCCATGGCTAATAATATACCATTGTTTAAGCCAGGGATCAGCAACCTGCGGCTCTGGAGCTGCATGTGGCTCTTTCATCCCTCTGCTGTGGCTCCCTGTCACCGGTTGGCTCCACAATTGATAGGGCTTTCGGTTAGGACAGGTAGAGGAAAAAGGACGCCATGCTAGGAGGAGACTTTATGGTAGGGGAACTGGACTTCCGGTCGGCAGAGGAAAAAGGATACCGCACTAGGAGGAGATTCTATGGTGGGGGAACTGGACTTCCAGCTGGCTCCAGAATTAAATGCGGGGGCTTCCAGTTAGGACCTTTGTGGCTCTTTGTGTGTTTAAGGTTGCCGACCCCTGGCTTAAGCCATAGTTAGTTTGGCTCTAATGCATGGGTGGTGGGACATAAACACGTGCAATCTGAATGTCCTTGCAACCTCTGCGAGATCATGTTGATGGAAAAGAAAAGAGAGAAATGTCCTTGCACACTCCTTTTCAGTGCAAAAACCAAAGTACAGATAATGAGGAGGAATATGCTGGTTGTCCTGAACAGAAGTGACTCCACAAGTGGCTCACACACAGAAAGCCATGGGGGAATGCACATAGTATGAAGACTTTAGCTTTCCATCCCATATAGAGGCTGGAACAATCCCAGCAACTTGATTCAGAGCCTCCAAAGGACAATGGTGTTTTTCCTGGCCCTTACTATTGACCCAGATGAGATACTGCTGCCAGGAAAGTCACTCTACTCTACTAAGTGAGGATGTGCAACAGAGTCCTAGACATGAGATGGGAGCAGATGGGAGCCCTGGCAAGATGCAGTTATTCAAGTGGGTTGTGGATCATCTTCTACCACCCTGACTTTCATCTGGAACTGGTCTTCCAACAAAGAAAGGAGCTAATCAGGGTCCCAAGTTATTTGTTAAACAACCCTCTGTTCATTCAGTAACTTACCATATCTGTAAGAGAACCATCCTTATTCCTTCCAGAAAGCCACGGGTTCATGAGATTTAGGAGAACCCAGCACCCTGCTCAGTGGGATGTTTCCTCCCCTGAAATGTGCCTGGTGGATGGACAGAATAATCAAGTGAAAATCTCACTCCCAAAGAATGGAACCAGAATGAATTCATTGTCTATGTATTATTTCTCACTGTCAACTAGCAAGTAAAATCATGTCCTAAAGGTCTGTTGGATTTTATAAGGTGCACAATGTGACCGGAGACTCCTCAGAGCCATAAGGTTTAGAGCTCAACTTGCCATAAAGCTACTTCTGACTTTCTAAAAAAGTATCACACCCGCTTCAAAGAGTAGGATCTCTTGGAAGAAGCATCACCTCTTAGGAAACTAGAGCAGAAAACTTAATCCCAAAATAGATACCCGGGATACCTATTTCTGAAAAGGAAATTGAGAGTGATTTACCTTTAACTCCTTGTCTCTGCAGCTGGATCTCTCTTTCTGTTTGCCTCTTCTGCCTCTCTCCACTACCAGCACTGAACAACATTTCTATTTGGAAACAATGGAACTTCGTTAAGGAACTCTGTCTCCCTCTGCTGTTGAAAAATTTTATCTTTCATTTCTCATAGCCCTAAATAATTCAGCTAACGAAAACCATATTAAGATAATTCAGTTGCACAAGTCCTATTTTTGCTCGCCTTGGATCAACCAAAGAGGGATGGTTGATTTTTTTTTCCAAAGAAGTCATGTGACTTCTGCGAAGCAAATGAGGGAAATTCCAAATTCCACTTTGAAAACAAAGTTACAGTATTGCGCAATTATAGCAGTCAATTGCTTTTACAAGTTTAAATAATTGACTTTGTCATTTAGTGACCTTTAGCTTAAGCTTACTAAACACACACGCACACATTATCTTATATCAGCTTCAAAACAAGTAAATAAAACAGAAAGCGTCCAAGATACAAAAGCCATAAAGAATGCCACAGAAAGAAGGTCAATTAATGCAAATATTTGCAGCAGATTTATTCAAGTTTTATGGAGAATGCATACCAAATGCAATCCAGTGAATGAATTCTTATTAGCATGGGGACAATTCAGTCTGCAGGGGAGACTGCAAGATTAGCTGTGTGTATAAGATCTTGGCAACCTTCTCAAGACTAAGGTCCACAAGCAGTAGTAAATCAAGAGCTGGGAATTTCCCAGATCCCCTCTCCCCTCCTCCAGCTTCCAGACTGGGGAACAGTGCTTCCCATAAAGTCTATGTGAGATTGCTAGCAGACTGCCAAACAATGGGCTGCTGGAGGAGAGCATGCTTTCCCTAAAGCAGGGGTCCCCAAACTTGGCAGCTTTAAGACTTGTGGACTTCAAGTCCCAGAATTCTCCAGCCAGCATAGCTTAGCTATGCATAGCTTAGCTGGCTAGAGAATTCAGGGACTTGAAGTCCACAAGTCTTAAAGCTGCCAAGTTTGAAGACCTCTGCCTTAAAGAGATCATGCTTCCAAGGTACCTACTGCTCAGCTGTGTCACTGGCTGTTATGAGAGGTTGCTACTATATTGAGGAAAGCATTGGGCAGTGACCTGCCCACCTGTCAATTAACAAATTGACTCTTGACTGGCGACTATGAATATGGAATTTATTCTTGAGTTGAACATTCTTGAGCTGAAGCACTTCCTGTATGTCCTTGAATTGGCTCCAAACTGATTGAAATTTGCGTTCCCCATTGCTGATCCCTACCCTGTTTTTTGTTTTTTGCTTTAATTTATATGCCGCCCTTCTCCGGAGACTCAGGGCAGCTTACAATCCGTTAAGCATTGTTTCTCTTACCTCTCTTTCAAATCACCGCAGCCCCATGGCTTCCTTCCAAGACAATGGCTGACAAAGACCAATGGATTTTTCACACCTTGAAACAGTGTCAGACTGTCAGAATAAGGGAGGAAACAGTACTTTGATCCTGGTTACAGTAGATCTACTTAAGTAACAGTGGTGTTTTCTGAAGTGCTTCTCAGGTCACACTTGGACTCCTTATGTGTAAGGACTTAGCATTCTTTAGAAAGAGTGCTAGACGTATATTAAATCAACCTTTATTGTTATCAGAGACTAGCATACAGTTAGTCTTTATTTAAAAACTAGGATTGGGAAAAACAGGTGGACTTTGCCAGCTATACGTTGATGGGTCTGTCATCAATGAATGCATTGCAGAGTTTCTGCTGCTTTAGCCTTCATGTGACTATACTCTTTTTACTGTTTAACAGTATATAAAGTTGGAAGGGTCCTTGGAGGTCATCTTGTCTAACCCCCTTTGCTCATACTAGGGATTCGAACCTTTCTGATTGACAAGCTCAGCATCTTAGCTACTGAGCCACTTAGGGAGCCACCTCTACTATCTGTCACCATTGTCATTTTCTTGCAGTACTTATGCAGTGTATTCATGATCAATCACTCCTTCCTATTCTCCTCTGTTCACTTGTGATTGGCAGATGGGCTACTCCTTTGGGACATGGGTTTAGCACTCTTTCAGAAGTGTGTGGGATCTGTGTTCAGAAGTAGCTCAACTGAGAGATAACAAGTGTAGACCATATCTGTGTCTGGAGGCTTTCATTCAGACAAGCAAAGGGCTAAATCAGCCATTTTAAGCATTCACCTAACCTCATTCATATCTGTGTTAGGGAGGATGGGGGCACCTAAAGGATGTTACTGTTAATGGTTGTGATGATTTTTACTTAGCTGCTGTATTTATGTTGTTAACTGCTGTTTGTTGCTCAGAGTCACAAGGCTGAGATGGGTAGCCATCTCACTTACAATTTATCTACTATCTACTGTATTTTATCACTGTTTTATCTTATTTATCTCTGTTAAATTCCACTATTCAGTATTTCACAATACTGTTTTTCCCCCTATTTGTTTCCTGGATAAAATCAGTTAAAAAAGAAAAAGCTGCACAATGTCTCTTGCTGCTAACATTGGGAGACTTCTATTTGGAACCCCTCCAAAATGAAGACTCATCTAACCCAGCTGGTCTTCAACCAAATTTTAAAATATCCTTCCCACCTTATATATAGAAACAGCAGAGGGCAGTAGACCACAAGAAATTCATGCCTAGCAGCTCTATTTCTTCTGACTGTCCATGAACTAGCCCTCCTTCACTAAAGCCAGCAAACAATGCCCAGATTTTATTGCTATCTTGTTATATCTCCAAAGCTCAAAGAAGGGGAAGAAACAAAAAGATTAAAACATGTCTATGAATATCAAATGCAACAGGTTAAAGTGTGAAGATGGGCAACGGTTTGCCAATGATTTACAAAAAGAGGACTTTAAAAAATGGCTAGGATTAAATGACAATATTTCAAGAAATCTTTCATTATGAGCATTGCCATGCAACTACATGTTAAGGAATGCAGTGGGATTTCTGCTGTGTTCATAATGCTATCAGGAGTGACACATCATTTGTTTATGCCCCAAGCATGGCCCTTCCTCTGTGAACATCTCTCCCCTGAGGAAGGATTCAATGGGGAAATTAGTTTTGGATTATTTGAGGCCTAGATCCTCCATGACTAAAACAAAAACCTCTATGGAAAATTGGAAGCTATCCATGGAGGAATGAGCTAGGAATTCAGACATTTCAGAGAACATATTGAGACATTTCTTGGAAGATTTCAAGCTGCCAGAAAGGAATGTATTGAAACAGTTTTTGGAAGGTTTGAAAATGCTAGAATTTCCAGAAGAAAGTAGCAACATTATTTTGAATGCCAACAGACGTGAATCCCACAATCCAGTCTAAAATGCTAGGGTGGTACAGTGGTTAGAATGCCAGACTAGAAAGCAGGATACTGTGACTTCTAATCCTGCCTTAGGTATGAAACACAGATGGCTGGCTTTGAGACAATTACTCTCTCAGCCCAGCTCAGCCCAACTTATACCGTTGTGTTTGTGGAGAAACAAGAGGATGAACAAGTATTAAGTGGGCCACCTTGAATTGTACAATATTTTATTTATTTATAAAATTTATTGGCCGCCCATCTTACCTCAAAGTAAGATATAAAATATGAAAATGAGATATAAATCAAATAAATCAAAACCAATCATAGGGTTGAATTAATTTAATCTTCTGTGTTCTAATTTCAAAACCTGCATCCATCTCTTAAGATATTCATAACTGGACAAAGAGGCACACTGTGATTCCAGGGGACAAATATTATTGAATTGTTCTTGCTGGCTCAGCATGTTTTTTACATTTTTAATGTAAGAAAGGCAGAGATTTGTGAAAGATAAGGAAAATATTTAGGAACAAAACTTGAAGAATCAAGAAATCTCAGAGGTGAGAGGGGAATTTAGAGTGTGAAATGAATCTCAATCCCATCAGGTTATATTCAGTTGTTTGTAGCTGACTATGAGAAAAGCCTATGAGGAAGGTTTTGATGGGCTGTAGCTCCAAGGTGATCATTAATTCATCCTTTATTAGACTGTGGGCCATGGACAGCTACTGCAACATCAGTATAGTTCCCCATCTAGGTTTTTCTAGCTAAAATTGCTGGCAAAATTATGCAAGAGCCAGCTATTTATATAGGTGTAGCTCAATATTAGCTCAAACTTGCAAGATGTTGGGTCTAGATGAAAGTTACTAACTTGGAATCAAGAAGAAAAGCTTTCCATGCTTGAATGCAATTATAATTTATTATTTCTGTATTTGGGGAGGGGGTTCCCTTCTCAAGGCAGTTGAAAATACTGCTTAACAAACCATGGTAAGATTTTCCTATGCTTTTGCTGCTATACATACCAACTCAATACAACAACCACCTGCAAACCTATGATAAAACATTGCAAATAAAGAAAAAAAAAAGTCCCAGTTCGCCCTTGGAAATTCAGTTTTTTTACTGTTTCTCTTTTCCTCAAGACTTCCTGTTGTAACATCAACCACTTCCTCTCCCCCTCAGTCTTTTTGTTCATCCCAGAGGGCTCCAAATGAAAGGTGCCAGTATTTCAATTTCACTCTCTATGCCTTTGCCACACACTGGCATTCCACGTCACCTTGAGGTTATCTTGGTATGGTGCAGAACAGTGTTTTTCAAACTTGGCAAATTTAAGATATGTGGACTTCCACTCCCAGAATTGCTGGTTGAGAAATTTAAGAGTGAATGTCCAGACATCTTAAAATTGCCAAATTTGAAAAACACTAGTTTAGAATAGGTAGAATGGGTAGCCCCTTTGCAGAAAGCTTCTTGCACCTGGTATAGAACCAATGGCTTCCTGAAAGAACATGTGCAAGAGGGGGGGAAAGATGGGTCTGTAAACATAGCTCAAGCACAGATTTGAATGGAAGATGCATCTGCCACAGTGGCAGAGTGGTTAGAGTGCAGTATTGCAGGCTATTTCTGCTGACTGCCGGCTGCCTGCAATTTGGCAGTTCAAATCTCACCAGGCACAAGGTTGACTCAGCCTTCCATCCTTCCGAGGTGGGTAAAATGAGGACCCAGATTGTTGGGGGCAATATGCTGACTCTGTAAACCGCTTAGAGAGAGCTGTAAAGCACTGTGAAGTGGTATATAAGTCTAAGTGCTATTACTATTGCTAAGTGCTAATAAGAATGCTACCCATGCCTCTGCGGAGGAGACATTCTCCCTCCTCCCCAAATC